GCTCACCCAGTGAGCCAACCGGCCATCCCTATATAGGGATTCGAACCCGTGGCCTTGGTGTCATCAGCACCGCACTCTCCTGAGTGAGCTATGGGCCAGGTCCAGTGATGAGTTTTGATGTTTCAAAAGCACTTTACAGTTTGCAAAGTACTTTTTCTCCTGTTGCTCACTGGATTGAGCCATCTGTTCTATTTTTTTTCTTTTTCTTTTATTTTATGTGGTTCAAAAGTCAAAATGCATATACAAAATCAAAAAATTGTGTTAAGTGAAAGAAGCCAGTCATGAGAGATCACATATTATATGATTCTATTTCTGTGAAATGTGCAGAAAAGGCAAATCCATAGAGACAGTAAGTAGATTAGTGGTTGCCAGGGGCTGGGGGCTTTGAGAGAGATGGGGTGTGACGGCTAAGGGCAAGGGTGTTTTGGGGATGATGAAAGTGTTCTAAAATTGTGGGGATGGTTATATAACCTCATGAATATACTAAAAACCACTGAATTGTATACTTTGAGTGAATTGTATAGTATGTGAATTACATCTCAATAAAGGTGTTGAAATAAATCACAAGATAAAACACAGTATCCAGGGAAGTACCACCATCCCCTCCCTGACCCACCTAGCCCTGCCCATTCTTTACTGCTTTCTCATGTTTCTTTTCAGCAGTTCTTTATGTAGATACAGATACTTAGTTCCCCATCTTTTTGTTGTTGTTGTTGTTAACTGAAATGAGAGTGTAGAACTGTTCTGCACTTCGCTTTTTCACTTCCTGTATCTTGGAGATCTTTCCACTTCTGTACAGAGAGAGCTTNGGGGTATCTACTGACATCTAGTGGGTAGAGGTCAGGGATGTTGTTAAAACACCCTACAGTGCACAGGACAGTACCCGCAACAAAGAATTATCGAGCCCACAAGGTCAGTAGTGCCGAGGCTGAGAAACCCTGTAATCACAACCTGTACCTGGCCTCTGAAACCTCAAGCAGAAGGCCGGAATCTTAGCTGGCCGTTCAAGACCCTCAGATCTCTCCCCTGTCCACCACCTCTTCTACTGTCTCCTTCAGCCAACTCAGGTCCTGCTGCTCCAAACCACTCCCGTCAGGCCTTTGCATGTGCCGTGGCCTCTGTCTGTCTGGCCCAGTCCTGCTCTCGTGTCAGGAGTCCTTGCAGCCTTCCCTCCAGGGGTCTCTCCTTTCCCCCATAGTGTTGCCTCTTCTCTCTTCCTTTGCTCCCTCTGGCCAGCATGTGGTCAGAGCACTGCCGCCTGCTGCTCCTCCCTGTAGCCCAGGCCAGTACTCCCTCATCAGACCTAACCTGTGTAGCACTTGTGTGCCCCAGACACTCTTCTATGCATGTTTACACCTCAGAACAGCCCAGTAAGCCAGGTACTGTCACCGGTTTATAGGTGAGGCGCCTGGGGCTCAGAGGGGTGAAGTGACTTGTTTGAGGTCCCTTGGCTAGGAAATGGCAGAGTCAGGATTTGGGCTCCAGCAGCTTGGCTCTGGAGCCTGTGCTCCTAACCACTTTCTCCTGCCTCTTGTGCCTGCAGCAAGATGGGGCACAGCCAGCGGATTCCAGGGAGCCCCAGCTCCCCTCCCATGCCACATCCTCACTGTCCCCTGGAAATCTGTGGGGCTGTCCTCAGTGATGAGGTTTTTTTTTTTTTAAGATGACCGGTAAGGGGATCTTAACCCTTGACTTGGTGTTGTCAG